GGGAATTCTGGGAGTTGAAGTCCACACATCTTCAAGCTGCCAAGGTTGAGAAACACTGCTTGAGATAAACTAATTGGAAGTACCCATTTTGTCAATTTTCCACACAGCATCACTGTAGTTTTATGCACAGATTGGAAGGATATGCTTATGTCTGGAAGACTGTCCTGCAATCTCCATCATGTCCATGTGAAATGGTCCTTACTGTTGCGGGCAGTGGGTTGGAGAAGGTTGCTCCAGTCTTTAAGGAGCCTTCATGGGACATTTGGCTGTCCCTCAGGTGACTTCCTCCCGTTCCCACTGTCTCCTTACCCAAATCCGCCAGCTCTACGTGGCCGAGCACATACAAGCCGCTTTTCTTGAGATCGTTGATGAAGCGGATAAGCTGGAGGGAGGTCCGTGGATTCCGCACCATCAGCAATACTTGTGGGCGCCAAAATTTGACATGTTCTTTGCGGCTGTCCAACATCAGCAGGTACTTGCGGACCTGGGTGAGAAAGAAGTCCAAGGGTCAGATTGAACGAAAGGGGCAAGATTCACTCCTCAAATCCTGAGTTTATTCAGGAACCTTTTCGTGTAGATGGGACGTCAGCCCCAAACACCACCCAGGCTGGGGATGATGAGGACTGTGGTCCTAATGTCACTGGAGGATATGCATTGCTCTACAAGTTTAACCAGTAGAAGGTACCAATCAAGTTCCAAGAAACAATCTCAGCTGATGTAGAATTTTAATCACCATTTCAGCAAGGGCTTCCATAAGCATTTCTACAGTAGTAGTGATAATACCACACCATCACCAGCACGCATGCTGGTTTTACAAAGGACAAGAGGGCAGGTTTCTTGCAAGAGGAATTGGCAGTCTAAAATGCCTCATGTGGAACAGGCCACCACACGATGTGGTGAGTTCTCATTCACTGGAGATTTTCAGACAGAGTCTGGAAGGTTAATTTCCAGAGATGCTTTTGTGGATCCTGCCCTGAGCAGGAGGTTAGAGTAGGTGATCTCCAAGATCCCTTTCAACTCTACGATTCTATGGTACTACAGTAGCTACTTTCCTCATACTTTACTGGTCGATGTGGTTTGACAATCCTCTTTCCTGGATCTGTCTGAAGTTTCACTTGAGGCAGCACGTAGGCAGATCCCTTGAAAGTCTCACTATGACTTCCATTTAACACGTTTTGGAAAGACTGCAAACATCTCTCTCCAAAAATGTCTCAGCAATTTTCGGTTTCAGATTATACACCACACTTCACCAGGCTTCAGCCCTTTTTCAGGGTTCCCACAGCACACAGAACCCTAAGCTGACCCAACAGGCTGAGTTCACGCTAATAACTAACTAAATACACGCCTAATCCATAAATAATAAAAATCAGCAAGTTGGGTGCCTGCAGCTGCTTTTAACTAACCTGGCTGAATATGTTGTGTAACCCCAATCTTGGTGCATATTTTAATCATTCGCCTTCAGCCCTTGCTGGCTCCTTTGCGATGGTGGGCAGCCATGCCTGAACCGGCCAAGATGTAGATACAGAAGAGGAGCTGAACCCAGTGCTTGCCTGTCAGATCCTGGGTTAGATGGAGGAAATTCTGCCAGAGCATCCCATTTGGCAGACCACATGTGGGCATGGGGGGGAGATAAAAGAGGGGTGCCAGCCACTGACAGCACCATATGCTGGAGATTCTGCCTGGATGCGCGGAGGACGCCTGGGGATCCCCCGGCTCCAAGTCAACAGCAGCTGGCGGGTTGGCAGCTGGAGGGAGGGAGGGAGACAGGCCCCAATCACCACCCAGCAAGTTACTTTCCTAGATGTAACTGGCCTTACGTTCAAGACTTTCACATGCAGCTGATCTCTTCTTCCACAGCTGTGTGGTCAGGCCAGAAGGCAGGCAGTGCACGCAAAGGGGACGATGGCAGAGGTGTGGGACTCTGGTCACTTCTTCCCTCCAGGACAAATTATTTTCTCTTTCACTGAAATCTCACTATCAGGCTTCATATTCTTTTTTCCTACTTTCTAACTCCCTGCCTATGACCCTCATTTCCATATGGCACCCACTCTTCTCCCTTCCTCCCTCCCATTTCCTTCCTTCTTTTCCCATCTTCTATCACTTCCAAAGTGGAATGCATTTGCTTCTCTTTCTTGGGCTATTTTTCCTCTCCCTTCCTCCCTGCTCTGTATAAATTTATGCAAGGGCCTTTAAAAAAAAAAATCAACCCTGAACACTGCTGCAGACATGTGATGGAAATGACATTAAAAAATAGAGGGGAGGGCCGAGCGTATCTGGACTTGACGAATTCGCCCCTGTCCAGACCTTTTCCAAGGCTCTTTGAGGCTCTCACGAGCAGACAGAATTGTGAAGCGGGAGGCCGGCCAGCGCAACCCCGCGCTCCCTGCTTTGTGCAGAGCTCCTCCGTCCCCGACAGACAGCTGTCCAGCCTCGGCTTGAAGACTTCCAAGAGAGAATGCCCACCAGCTCTCTAGATAATTGGTTTTATTGTCCTGGTCCCATCCTCCAAATGTTTCTTGTAGCGTCCGGCTGAACTCTCCTCCCTCGCAACTCCCAGTCACTGTGTTGAGCCTTGCCCTTTGGAGAAGGAGCACAGGACACGCCTGGCCGCCTTCCACGTCACATAGCTTTGGGTATTCGACAAGTCCCAGAACTGAATGGCCTTTGGATAGGAAGCAGGGACCCAACAGATGGCCTTGGGGTTCTGCTTCAGCATCCTCTGCTTGGGGACAATAGCAAATCCAGCCACAGTTTTTCTTCCCTTTGTACGGAGCTCCAGCCGCTACCTTCCTTGCTCTGTGCATGTGTGTGTGTGTGTAAACAGACTTGCACGCACACCGAGACATATCAGGTCAGACAAACAGGAGCTCAGGGCAAGCTAACGCATTTACGTCTTTGGCTGCTAACATTTGTCTTCACTACCAGCGACAACTGCATTTGATCAGCATCCATCGGGGTAACATCACCCTGGATAAGTAAACGTTATTCCCCTCGATGCTCGCGAGCAAAGAAACCCATACAACTGCAACCCGCCCCCCCCGCTGCCAGGCCTCAGCTCCTGATTGCACGCAATCTGTCATTGCCACTTGCCCAACATCCCTGTCCGTCACCGCTAGGAACTAAAGGTATTAAAAGGGGAGAAATCCCCAAGTGGCATTTGCAACGTTCGCTGCTCTCCGCCTCCTCTGTGCCTCTTTTTCAGTATTGTTAAAAAGCTAATGCTCCCATCCAAGAACAAGAAACGTTGACCTCTTGTGTGGAGAGGGCTGGCTCCAGCCATTTGGAAGTCCAGGTGGGGAATTCTAAACCACGGCTCTAACTAATAAATAACCGAAATATTATTTCTTGTGTGACCCTGCTCGAATGGAAGATGGCAATATGGTTGTGCGGCTCTGGGTTGTTGCAACAGGACTTGTGCAATGGAACTTCCCACACCTTTGGGTGTCTCTCCATGATGCTCCAAATAGAAGGGCATGCAATATCTGGGAACTGATTCCCCAAAGCACTATGTACATACATAGCCCTGATCTGCGACACTTTAAAACAGCTGTGTCTTTTCCCTGGGACTGGTCGACACAGCTGCTTTAAAAAGCTGCTATGTCTGCAGTTATGAGCCTGGAATTCCCTTATTCTGAGGTAGGAATTTGATACATGAGAAAGCAATGCTGGCCATATTTCAGCCCAGAGGGGGAGGAACTTCATCGTGTGTAGTGCCCGAGAAAGCCAGGGTGTGGCCATCAGAATTGCCCTAGCTCTTGTTTGACCTCCCATGTGCAGGTATGTGCCAGCAGAAGAAGGAAAAAGGCACCCTCTCTACCCAGAAAGCTTGTATCTTACATTGAAGCTGAGCTGTGGGAGGAAGGGCCAAGAGAATTACTCTACTCTTTGTACTTTAAGCAAGAAGCAGGCTGGCAGTTGCTACCACAGAAGTCTGGCAGCCAGGAAAAGTAAGTGCAAATCTCCAGCTTACCTCTCACCTGTACTCCAAACTTATTAAACAGCCTTAAAGGGAGCCCCCCCCACAACTTCTCAGCCTCATTTCTGTCTCTGGCAGCATAAGGAGCCACACTGGCCTACTTTACAGGGCTGTTGCTCCGGACAATCCGCCACATTTGACCCCCAGCAACGCTTTAAGCACCAGTCAGCATCCAAGCATCCTCCTCAATCTGCAGTCCAGCCTTCTCACCCCCATGTGCTGAGACTCCAGTTCCTAGAAATCACAGTGTAACTTGGTTGGGAATTCTGGGTATGGCAGTCCGGATACATCTTGAAAGCACTGGGCTGGACAAGGCTGGTCTCAACATTTCCAAAGCGACGAAACACACACTTTGCTTTAAGCCCCTCCACCCCACAGCAAGAGCATCAAAAACTGAGTGTGCAAACGTGACCTGAAAGGCGTGGATGATCTATATCCTTTCAGAGTCTCCACAGCGGCTCTTTCCCGTGTTGGGGGCAAGAGAGCTCTATTGACGGGCTCGGTACGCATGGAGGGGAGCTCTTACGACAAGGCACATCACGATATGCGCAGAATGGACGACCCGGTGTTGCTAGCCAAACGCCAAGCAAACCCCCTGACCAAACTATCCGATTTGCCCGCAGGAGGGCCGTGCCTTTGCCATGCAGCCCAGGGAAACAGCAGCTGGCTAATAAGACTCTTCTATTATACACGAACTGGAGCTTTTAAATGCTGGTTTTATGACACCCAAATTAAAAGGCTGGGCCTGGGCAACGGGCCCAGTTTGCTGGAGCCGGGCACGGATCCCAGGGAAAGGCGGCGTGCGGGGATAACACCAGCTGGAAGGGCGAGCCGTCTACTAAAAGGGTTAGGCAGAAACAGAAGAGTCTCCGGCAAAGGAAGCAGATGCAAATTCGGAATGTTGTTATTATATCTGAGAAATTAATCTCAAATAAGGATGACCACCTGCTCCGGCATTGGCAACTGAGCAACGGGGGGGCGAGGGGCGAAGAGGATGGAGATGGCAGATCCCGTTCCTCCTCCAGTTCCTGGAAAGGGATGGAAATCCTAACTCAGGTGTTTGTTCTCTCTTTTCCCACTTTTGCCAGCACAGGTGTCTGCAGGGTGTGGTCAGAAAAGTCAAGATGGCAGCCATGAAGGTGTGATCAAAGCTTCATCTGTTTCTCATGCACATCACACATGGTGCACATTCAAAACAGATGGGGGTTTGACTGCACTGTTGTGGCTGCCATCTTGACTTTTTCGACCACCCTGCAGACGCTCCTGCTTGCCAAGATCCCTGTTGCTGATCTGTGCTTTAGGTGGCGTCCCATGGGTTGTGCTCCTCAAAGGCTTGGACAAAGCAGGGAGGGAGGTGAAAACCAAATTTGTGTTCACTCCAATTAAATGTAAATTAATTCCATCAGTTCATATAAATGTTCCCTGTGCATTTCATCGTTTTCTCCTCCTGTTACATTAGATAATGTTCCTGGGCTTGTTTGCCCTGTGCATTATGGCTCATGTTCCTAAACACTAAACTAGACAAATGGGGGGATGATGTCACCTTTACGTGCTGTTGAGAAAGGTGCCAAGAGGCCCCATGTATGTACATCCTCTTTGAAAACATGACACATTTTATGGGACTGAGGGAGTTCCAAAATCTTCAGCTAGCTTTAAAATTCTTATTTTTCATTGTCTTCTTCCATCGGCAATCAAAGTATTGAGGTTTGTTCGTATTAATAGATCCTCGCTGAGGGCAGCTGTGCAAGTCCAGGAAAAGACACAGCTGCTTCAAGGAGTTTCTGACAGGTGCAATGTGCGCTCTTGAATCTCGTTGTGTCCTTTGAATCCAAATCTCTGCGCAGCCTTATAAAAGTTTAAGTGCGTTCCCTGCACAGGCTTTAGCTACTGAATTTTTGGGGTTTGTACAATATCTTGAACTGGCACAGCTGGGTTCATGATTAATTATGTGTCATCAAGTCATTTTTGACTCTTAGTGACTACATAGATAGATTTCCTCATGATGATCTGTCCTTAACTTGGCCCTTCAGGTCTTCCCCCCCATCACCACTGTAACTGAGACCCTCCACCTTGCTGCTGGTTGTCCTCTTCTTCTCCTTCCTTCTACCTTTCCCAGCATCGGACCTTCTCCAGAGAGCTGGCTCTTTGCATCATGTGTCTGAAGGAGGATCATTTGAGCCTGGTGATTTGGGCCTTGAGTGAGAACTTTGAGCTGATTTGTTCAATGATCCATCGGTTTGTTTTCTTGGCTGTCCATGGTATTCTCAGGAGTCTTTCTCCAACACCAAAATTCAAAGGTGTCAATGCTCTTCCTATCCTGGCTTCCTCGAAGTCCAACTTACGCTTCCAGAGAGCATCACAGGGACTACCACAGCTTGCATGATTCTGACCTTTGTAGGCAGAGACACATCACAGCATCTGATTATCTTTTCCAAGGCCTTTATGGCTGCTCTACCAAGTGCTCATCCACGGCGTATTTCTTGACTGCTTGTTCCTTTACTCTTCATGGCTGGTCCTAAAAGGCAGAAGCTCTCCACCACCTTGATATCTTCATTGTCAATTCTAAGACTGGTTGTTCTATCTGTTGTCGTTACTTTGGTCTTCTTTATATTTAATTTTAGTCCCATTTTGAGTTCATTCAACCCAGAAAACCAAACCAAGTTTAAATGAACGTACATGTCATGTTGTGCAAAGGTTAGATCTGTACTGGATCTGTTCTTTGTATCTACCTGATAAGGTGGGATTACCTGTAAGTCCAACCTTTCTACCATCTGCTGAACTCCAAATGAGTTATGGAATGGGTCTCAACTCCCACAGCGGTGAAAGTGCCAGTTTGGGGGAGGTGGCCCCAAACATTCCTGGCTTAAATTGTCCCACAGTTACACTGATTAGCTCACCAGTCTGGAACAAAGGACATCCCCAGGGAGGCCCTCCAGAGCTTGATCTGTTGCAGCAAGTAAGTCCGACTTAAGGATGCCAGGAAGAACAAGGCAGACAGATCATGGATGGTATTTGGAAAAAGCCTATTTAGAAAGGTAAAGAAATGTCTGAGGAGTTTCTGTCAGGATATGAATTAGCTACTGGGAGAAATGGCGTGCTATCATTGATTTAGCTGATCTCTAGCTTCATGATAAAGGGCTTAGTGCTCCAAGTGCCTTTCCAATCCCAGAAAGCAAATTAAAAACACCAAAAAAGGCCCAAGATAAAGCGGTCGGTGGGTGGACAGTGAGACAGACAAGAAACTGCTGGATGGATAATTTAAAATTTAGTCAACAGGAACAACCTCCGTAAGCTAGAAAAAAGCTGACTTAAAACAGAGCGGTTTTAACTGGGTGGTGGGAGAAAGAAACAGAAGGAGCCAGAGGATGCTCTGCGGGAGAGAAATTCCCCAGTCGGGGTCTAGCCACAGAAAAACAACTTGCACATCCCAAACAATGAGAACCAAAAAGCAATCGGATACAGTAATGGCCCAAACCAGGGTTTCAACTGGCACACTGTTGTAGCCCCGGAATAGCCATAACGCCCCTTGGCTTCTCCCTTTGCCTCTGCTGACTTCTGATTAAACTCTGGGTGTCAGAAGCCTTTTATGGTTGCTTGACACAGGCAAAGGTGCTCTTTGATGCTCAGCAACAGTTCAGCAAAATGCACTGACCTGTGCTGGGAAGCCGAAAACATTTTCCCATCTGAGATCAGGAAATAGTGCAGAATAAGGGCCCCTTTAGGTATAAATTTATTGACAGTAGCCAACTCTTTAAAGCAGTGTTTCTCACACTTGGCAACTTTAAGACCTCTGGACTTCAACTCCCAGAATTGAAGCCAGCAACGCTGGCTGGGGAATTCTGGGAGTTGAAGTCCAGAGGTCTTAAAGTTGCCAAGTTTGAGAAACACTGCTTTAAACCATACCTGGTAAATTCTGGTAACTGATATTGGTTATTAGTGTAGCTGGGCTACAATGAATGTAAAATGCTCATATAGTTCAATCCCCCTGAACTACTTTTGCCCCAGACCAGCCGATCACTTAGGGGCCCTCTCTGGAGGCTCTTCCAAGAAAGTCTAAAGTGGCTGCCTTCTCCCAACACCCTTAACCCAATTAACGTATTTTTCTGGGCTTGCCCCATACGTTCAACCATAAACCAATGAAACGGGCCAGGTTTCGCACATAGCGAGTGAAACCACAAAGAAACTCCCCCAAACCTAACCAGGACTCTAACCAAGCTTCATAGGTTTTGTAAATGTAGCTGCTAGGTCTTTAAAGGAGACAAGTAAGTGTGGGGTTGGAGCCAGAAGTCCAACCTTGACTTCTCTAGGGCACAGGACACTTTGGCCAAGTTTATGGGAGAGTTATTGCTTAGAGCGATCAGGGGAACAGTAGAGAGCAACCAACAGACAGAGGTAGACTGCCCATCTTCACAAAAGAGTCAAGTCTCTTCCCCCTCTGCATTGACAGTGAGAAAACAGATCAAAGTTTGCCTGTAGAAATGTCTCATTTGAAAAAAAGGCGCTTGCTGGAATTCTTAGACTCTAAACTGAACCTTCCTTTTCATATATAATCAACATTCTCGGATTCTTCTTCCCGAGCTTAAGAGCGTCTGCTCTAGACTGCAGAGAGAAGTCTGTCATTGCGGCCTCCTAGACGGAGAAAGATCACCTCCTTGCTCCCCAGACCTTCTTGCTGGTCCCAGTGTGGTTGTCCTTACCTGGTGGAAGATGAGAGCTTGGCTGATGTAGCCCCAGCTGCTGCTGGGGGACAGGTAATGGAGGGCCACAAGCAGGACGACCATGAAGGCCACACTGGCTGAGGCATAGATAGGGCTGATGAGGAACACCATGACGACACAGCCGGCAATGCCCAGCACACATGTGTGCCACGTGAAATACTTGAAGGTGGGCCTGTGGAAGGAGAACAGGTAACAGGTTAGGACACCCGGACTCTCTTTGGGGGGGGATGCTCTGCTTTGCCATGCAATGCCAAGGCGCAGAAATACAGTTCCCAAGACCAAGGAGGAACAGATGGGAGTTGCAATTCCACATAAAAGCTACATTCACACAACATGTTTCATCTGTCTGCTGAATGCACCCCTGTTCAGTCCAGCTTGAGGGGACGGATATGCACAAGAACCTAACGGAAGTTAAAACTAAGCAAGCTTAGCATGATCTGCCCAGATAAATTCTAGGCATTTAATGGACTTGGCTAAGCATGTTGTACAAATGCAGCCAGGTAGGAGGGCACAGGCTTAAAACTTGGTGATTTTACGAAGACACGGGGCTCCCCCACTCTCCACCCCATACACATTGTGGATGCTCCACTGGGCACATCACTAACAATGAAAGTCTGTTTGGGGTGGAATACCAAGTGGGGTTATAGGAAATAATAGTCTTTATTTAGGCTTTACCCTGCCCTGTCCCAGGAGACTTGCAGTTGGTTAACAACGTTTCAAGACAATGAATACATAATACATAACTTTTTCCCAGCGGAACTATTAAGGGCGTGCAATGCACTCATCTCTAACCACAAAATGCTTGCGCTGAAAAGAGATTCTAGAACTGCTTTCCCCAGGCTATTCTACGCATCCAAAATGTATGCACGGCCCTTGTGCAGATATATATGATTTTCTGCAGAAAAGATCTTCTGCATACAAATTTTATGATGCACTTCCCTTCCCCTTTCCCGCCAAATACATATAGCTGTGGAGCGCCCAGCATTTTCCACTGGGAATATAGCAGAAGTTCATCAGATGCTGTGAAGCTCAGGATGAAGATGCAGTGGCAGGAAATGCAGCACCTGTTGAATTTCTGCCTGAGGCACAGATCTTTGCAGCAGAGAGCTTCTATCAAGCCATGGGAAAAACAAAAAGGTGCAGTTGGCCAATTAGAGGAAAATGTGGTCTGGTATCAGAGGATTAAAGACAGAATCCAAGGTGATCTTCAAGACATATTCCTATTAAAAAGAGATCTATGAAACCAGGCTACTCTTGAAAAAATCAAACATTCATGGACTCTACCAGAAGTACAGGTAGTCCTCGCTTAACAACCACAACAGGAAATGGTGATCACATGATCCTGGGACACTGCAACTGTCGTAGGTGCGAGCTGGTTGCCAAGCACCTGGATCGTGATTACATGACCATGGGGGTGCTGTGACGGTTGTAAGTGCAAGGATCGGTTGTAAGTCTCTTTGTTCAGTATCGTTATAACTTTGAATGGTCACTAAACAAATGGTTGTTAAGTGAGGACTACCTGTATTTAATTTCAGGAAAGGGGCAGAGCCAACAGGAACACATTCCTTTAACAGTTGTGTCAGAGAAGAAATTCAGCCCGTGAAACCTTTCTGCCACTGCTGAATTGTGTAACAAACGTCTATGAAAATGCAAAGAAGAAAGGGGGGAACCTGCCTTTCAGATTCTCAAATATCAGCATACCCAATGGTTGGATGGCCTTAGATTCAGAAGCAAAGCAGAGCAAAAGTGAACTCTGAAAGCTGAGGAAGATAAAAAGACAGGATTTGGACCCCACTGTTTATTTAAGACCGAGGGGAATCTTAACTAATAGCTTAAGGAGATATCTACTGTATAGTTCAGTGTTTCTCAACCTGGGCACCTCGCCTCATTTCCTTTCTCTTCTCCACTCTGCATCGTTCCACACCCCCTCCCGCTTCATGCCGCTGTCCTGTTGTGGTATGCAGACACCTGCTATC